TCAGCGTGAATTTCATGAAGGATAAGTTGGAACTCTTCAACTTGAGAAACAACCGATTTGTGATCAACCATTTTAAAGTCCAAGAAATGCCCGACAATAAATTTCTTTTTTCCGGCATCCTCGGTCTTGTATTTTTTCTCAAGTGATCCCCACAATTCTTTTGCCGTCTTTATATCGGCATACACGGAGTACAAGGAGTCATCGAGTCCATTTAAGAGATAATTTCTACACAAGAAATCTGAGTACTTCCACGCATCCACCGCGGCTACTTTCTCCTTATCAGTCTCGCCTTCCTCTAAAACAGGCTGGCTTTCGGAGAGACACTTAGCCAAATTCAACGTTGTTAAATAAAACAGCATTTTCTGTTGCCAACGTTTGAAATCATGACCATTGAATTTGCTAGGTTTCTCCCCGTGAGAAGAGCTGATCGGGACAGTAGTGAGCGGTGAAACTTTTGGAAAAGTAATTTTTGATTCGTCTCCCATTCTGTTTACAAAAAACAGACGGATTCAAAGGTTGGAATTAAATTTTGAGAATCAATGTATATACACAAAGTATATAGGCCGAATAAAAGTGCAAAGATTTCACTAATATGCACACGATATGATAATGTAAACAGTCGCTAATACGTTTAAATGTATAGAGCAACTTGATAAAATTGTAAGTGATAATTAGTTATGGGGATAGAGAATTTGGCAATTTGCATGTCACATTGAATTAGTAAACGATGTAGGAATGTTAATAAGTAGAAATACGAACATGCATGTACATACAAGTAAACGACATGTACATTCATAATGATCAAAATAACCGCTGGCAGAATTGTGAAATGTTAATAACCAATTAGAATAAAAATGATATGCCAGATAAATATTCTGACGTGAGAATGAGAATAATACTAATTAAGTTAAGATATTAACCAACACGATCAGATTGTAAAGGATGATAATAAAACAAAACTACTTAGTCAGAAAGGAGAATTAGCCAATAACAATTAATTTGCATGCAAACTCATATGCAAATGATATGACGTATCCATATACAAATGATACATGCAAACTCATGCGAAACAGATGTGCACACATGCACACACAAAATTCGTACTGCAGATTACCGAAAGTAGAAGAATTAACGCATACAAATTTCAGAATGATACTAAAATTAAAACGTCTTAAGATTGTTATCCAAAATTCGTATATATCTGCATGCATTGATTAGATAAATAGAAGAAAAAGAAAATACTTGTATCAACCGAGCCCAACAAAAGCGTTGTCTCCTTAAGACGTTTTTGCCCGACACACGTAGCAAGCGTCTCCCAGGATAGAACGGTTCTTCGCTCCCAACGGGATTCCGGCGAACTCAAAGATGCAACGAAGGAAGAGAGAATTTGAGGAATTGTTTGTGAATTTTCGGATATCTCAAAAGTGAAGACAAGGCGGGTATTTATAGAGCTCTGGCCAGGAGTCTCTTAACCCAAAAGACACCTTTTAAAAGAAAGTTCATGACCTTTCTTTTAAAACGAATGGTTGTTTCTTTTATTTGGTTTTATCCGAAAAACGTAGCAAAAATAAATCTTCCTATCTTAAGCCCGATTGTTGACTCGTCAAAGACCCGAACCCGACCGACTGACGGCGGCAGTGTATGCGTGTTAAGTATAATTTCACGCTTATCTTTCGGAGAATAATTTCTCATTCATTTCAAAATGATTTTTTTCAAATAATATTAATGACCATAATATTAATTTGTAAAACCATTTTTCCAACACTTCCCACCTTCATCCACAAACTGCCGGCCATGGTGTTTGGTCATCCCACTTCTTTCACAACTTTGCCGTCCTTGGGAACGAAGAGAAAAGGAAAAGGAGTATATGCGATGCAAATAAAAACGAAGAGAAAAGGATATGAGGTTTTGGGATATGAGTGGACCGAGTAATGAGGGAGATGGGTTTTGGGCCTGAGTGGAGCATTGGAGCGTATCATCATTAAGGGTAAAATGGGGATAATAATGAAATTTAGTCCCATTCAGGCTCAAAAACATAAGCACTCCTACGGCAGCTCATTCGGTCATATTTACTCCCATTTAAGACCAATTTTCCTATCATATACTATGTATGATTAAATGTGATAATTCTATCTTTCATGTTTGTTAATGTCTATGTATATATGTATTTTATACACTCAAAAACACAATATTACTTAACATATTTATGCAAAAATATAGATAAAAATGCAATTTCTAGGTCTCTGACTAGTCCACGACTAGACACCCGCCTAGGCGCTGGGCTGGCGCCCGACTAGCGCCTAGCGCCTTTTAGAACCTTAGTTTATATTGTTAACTGCACATTCGAAATTGCTTAGAATATCTAAATTGTTTACTTAACACTATAAATTTACATTTGAGAAAGAAAAGCATATTATCATGATCTTAAGATAACTTTTTATATACTCAAAAGTTCAGAGTATTTAATTTATTTTCTCTTATATATTAATATAAGTAGTATGTGATTTATAATTTATATACAATTTAACTTTTTTCTCCTTTCACTTGGCTCCAGAGCTATGAGCAACGACGGTGTAAACCCTGGTCACTCGGCTTATTCATTCTCTTCGTTCCTTCTTTTACCATGCTGAAATATTTTTCAAATTGGCAGTTTCATTTAATATGGTATATTTCTTTCCTAGTTGGCGGAGCCAATAGAGGACATCAAAACACCCTAGAATCTGATTAGGAAAGAAGTGAAGTTAGCTTGGATGGCAGATCATTTCTATTAGCGAACACTCGCTTTTATGGTTTAGTTGAATGTTCACTGAAGCAATTATCTGATGATATCGGACTAATTTATCAATCAGTAATTGATCCTTTGTTTGAGGTTGGCAAGGTTTGTTCTACACAATTTTCTCTTAGATTTTAACATTGGTTGATGAATGTCACGAGCTCTTAGGCACTCGACCTCCTCCCGAACCACCAGAAAGAAAATTAGTGTTCCAATGGGTCTTCTTTCGGTGGCTATCTAGTCAAATAGATGATTTTTTTGGGGGGGGATTTTAGTTGTTGATCAAACTCATGGATTGATGCGAAGAGCACTTCGAGATTCTCATCGGGGAGGAGGAAGAAATGATTTTCCATAGAGAGGGAGGCGATCAGTTAATAGGGTACCTCAGAAAAACGGTGAGTTAGATGGAGATGTATCCCATAGAACCCGAACAAGGTGGATGAGGTGGAAGAGTGAGTCGGAATATCTATGTGATCGAGGTATTCAAAAGGATTTCTATGTGGCAGAGATGTGCGTGCTACGATATTGTGATGTTTGTTGTGGTGCATGATGTTTGCCGACGATATTGTATTGATTGATGAGACACAATCAAATGTTAAAGAAAAGTTGGAAGTATGATTTCAAACATTAGAGAACAAAGGCTTCAGACTGAGTGGGGCAAGACCGAGTACATGGAGTGCAAGTTTGGCGGATGTAGAAGCATTTGTAATGTGGGATTACTCTAGATGGTAAGGAGATATCTGTCAGTGATATGTTCCGTTACTTGGGCTCCATAATTCAGAAAGACGGTGAATTAGATGGAGATGTATCCCATAGAATCTGAACAAGGTGGATGAAGTGGAAGAATGAGTTAGGATTTCTATGTGATTGAGATTAGAGATGGCAATTGTGACCGATCCACTGGATACCTGAACCGAACCGCCCCGGTCAAAATGGGGAAAACCGCATTGACCGGGTAACGGGTATGGGGCGGGGAATACCCGTTTTGTTTTTACGGGTAACGGGGCGGTTACAGTTTTATACATGCCGTCCCCGAAAATGGGGCGGGGAATTATCAAATGGGGCGGGTACGGTTATATGTAAAACCGTCCCCGAACCGCCCCGTTGCCATCCCTAATTGAGAAATTCAGAAGGATTTCTATGTGGCAGAGATGTGCGTGATGCGTTGGATGTGTGAACATACTAGAACGGACCGCGTGAGGAATGAGAGAATCAGACCAAAGGTGGGAGTATCACCTATTGAAGCTAAGATGCGGGAGTCTCACTTGCGGTGGTATATTCTTTTTATCATCTTTATTCTATCATTTTTATGTATATCTATCTCTTTTTATATTATCTTTTTAGGGGTAATTTGAGTTTGCACCCCATTTTATTGTCCAAATTGGACTTCGCACCCCGTTTTTAAAAAACTTTGTATTTCCACCCTAACTCCATATAAGTAGACAAAAATGACATTTTTGTCTTTTCATATGGGGTTGGGGTGCAAATACAAAAAAAATTTAAAAAACATGGTGCAAAGTCCAATTTGTACAATAAGATGGAGTTCAAACTCAAATTATCCCATCTTTATATCATACCTTAATTTCTTATCTTTGTTTTCTTTTTTGTTACGATATCAGGTATCGATTCATGTTAGCTGACTCCAAAATCTTTTGGGAGTAAGGCTTGGATGTTGTTGTCTATTTTTTCTTTTATGCTACAATTTTTAGCTACATCTTTAATGTTTTGTGTTATCTCTTTTGTTGAGTCGGACTATTTGAGCTGGCCTATAGTTGATTTGGTGTAGTGTAGTTCAAGTTTCTAATACGTCTTCAGATTTATAGCAAAGGGATTAATTAGTTGGTCATGACTGATATAAGTCTAGCTGCTTAACAAGTGTTTTTTCTTGAGTCATTAGATCTTATCTCATTGTACTTCTCTATTTCCTAATTACAATTGAATACTACCTATAAAACTATTTACAACAAAAAATATACTACGATTTATAGTAATGATACTATCATGTCTAGTTGTGTACACGGCAGATATTTCGAGTTATAAGATCAGTTGCTATATGGATTAATTAATTATATTACTAGTTTAATGCTTCTATTACGGCGAAATTATTACTGCGCTGCACGTACGTACACAACAAATATCATGGGCCTTAAAGATCGTGACTTTGGGTAAAAAAAAAGTACATCTGACCGGCCGGAAAGTGACCGGCCGGCCGGAGCTGAATTCTTACCTGGAGCTGGAATACTCGGAGAGTTTTCCGGTGGCGGAGAAGACGATAAGCCCAAGCTCAGCATCGCAGAGGGTGGCAAGCTCTTCTGCTTTTTTGAGAAGCCCTCTTCTCCGTTTGGCATACGTCACTTGCCTCGCCGTCAAGCTCTCGATCTTCTTGATCTCGATTCTCTTCCTCACCATTATAACGTTTTCTGTACGTCTCAACCAAACGCGGTGTTAATTTCCCAGATATTATACACACAGATTGACACAAAAATATCAATATACTCCACTTTCACACCAAAAAGGACGAGTTTTTTTTTTTGTGTAAAAAATCAAGAACGGCGCAACCCTAGATTCCTTCCCATACAGAGAGAGAGAAGAACTGGAAAAGTTACCAACTTGAACTGGGGAAAATAAATATGGGAAGTAAAAAGAATTGAAAGAGATTAGAGAAATTACAGAAATGGGAGAGGATGAGAGCCTAGTATTTGATCTGATTCCGAAGAGGATAGGAGAACCTCTTATTTGATCTTTCTCATTATTTCCTTTTTAACTATTGTTGTACTCGTACTATTTTAGGGGTTACTTACTTCCTATCCATCCCTTTTAGCTTACTTTATTAGGGATAGTTTGGGTAGGCGCAAAAAAATTGAAACTATCTATTTATGGCCGAACAGAGTAGCCACTACTTTCTATAAGTAGATTTCTTTTAATTTAAGGGCATGTTTATCCTACTATAAAAAGAACTACTCTTACATGTTTTTGTTTCTTGTTTTTGTAGCGAAAATATTAGGGTTATTATGTATCTCCCTCCGCCCCCTTTTAAATGTCTCGTTTTACCATATTGGAATGTTCCTATTTAAATGTCACATACCTTATTTGGTAAAGTTTGTGTGACTCAAAATCATTCTTACTTTATTCTTAATTTATTCTTATTTTATCAATTAATATCAACCACGCAAACCCACTTTTCTTAAAATCCGTGTCACCCTCCTCCGGGACATTTAAAAGGGGACGGAGGTAGTACTCCATATTATGTAAACTCTTACGAAGTAATATAAATACAATCCTTGAGTCCCACAAGAGGCTAGGGTTGAGTATATTTTGGTCTAAATCCAGGAATGGAACTACGCTATAATATCAATGGTGTCAAGATATTAAAGTAATACGATAGTATGAAGTATTATTTTAAAACTATAAATAACTAATACGGAGTAAGTAGTTTTAGGGAAATTTTTTGAATTGAAATAAATAGATTTTGGGATTCTAAAATTTGACTATTGTATTTTTTTCTTAAAATATGACTAACATGACAATATTTAAAGTCATCTTAGAGCAACTTCAATATTACAATGTCATGATGTACATGTGACATGATAGACATAGACATGCAAATATTAGTAAGAAAAATATTTTTCTCCTTATTTGAACGGTCTTATATGTTTTTAGTAATTAAGTTCTTCTCAACAATATCTAGAGAAATGTCTAGATGTAGACATTGTGGTTGACATTATTACGAAAATCATATGACACCGTGAAAAGAAATTAAAGAAAGAGAAATGACAGTCATTTATCTTTATGTATCTCTCTCATTGCACATATGCACCGTGCACATTGTAGCCCTGGAGGGTCATTATTGTCATAGTAGTTGCAGTGTGAGGCATTAACATGGTTGTATTTACTACTCATTTATTATATTATTTTTCAATTATGGTGTAATGACACCATTTTTGGAAAGAAAAATATAACAGACCTATTTTGGAATTCTAAAACCCGTTTACTCTTATGTAGAGCAGTTTTCCTAGCTTTTATATTTTAACTAATTAATAAACACAGACTTTTGTTGTTTTATGTGAAATATTTATAACATTATTTATTAGTTTCTCGTGCTCACTTTAGTGGTGGATCCAGGGAAAAAATTTAGTGGGACAGAATAAGATGAAGTTAAGAGTCTGTTTGATAACATTGAAATTGACTGAATCGACTAAGTCCATTGAAATTTTGATTAAAATTGTTGAATGGAATGAATATGCTAAATTATGAACAAATTGTATTTAATATATTACGTATATTTTATTAATAAAATAAAGAACATGATACATGAAAAATAGAAACAATAGTTATTTTTGTTGGAAACAATAAAAGGGGTCTAATATGTAATTAATTAATAACAGTAACTACCATCATGAAATAAAAATAATAAAAGTGTAGATACTGAGATAATATATTTCTTTTGATGACGTGCGGGTCAAATTGAATATATTACACTAAAGTGATACAACGGCCAAATAAATTATTCTAAATAACACCATTATTGCAGCAATAATTAAAGAATTATTAGAATTAATTCATGTCTAAATGTTTTCGCTGCAAGTTTTAATCAATAAACCAAAGTGCTGATAACCTTAAGCTGCTTCATACTCCGTTTTTATGGCATGTTTAATATTCCGTATATGAATACAGTTAGAATGTTTTCTTTTGGACTGTTTTCAGTCCCAGACCAGATCAGATTTAAACAGACTAGACCAGATCAGACCAGACTTAAACAGACCAGACCAGACCAGACTTTCATAGTTATAAAATACACAGAGAACAGACGTTTACCAGACCAGACCAGACCAGTTCAGACCAGACCAAACTTAAACACACCAGTCCAGACCAGCAAATTCCAATCCAAAAGAAAACATTTTTACTCAATTGCTACCGAGTAAATTAAATACGGAGTAAATATTTTTGGAATGTGTGTTGTGTGTCTAGCAAGATTGGCATGGTCTTATTAAACAGATGTATAGCAACGTAACCGTTTTTTTAAGATAAACCATGGCTACATTGAATCGTGTGCCTAGATAGAATCTTAATATTCTTTTGATTTGCTTTCATTATTTTAATCAAATAAGTAGTAGTACTGTGAATTAAGTTACCGTTAATTATTACGAGTATGATTGAATCAATTAGTTCTTTGATTGCCGTAAGCTACTTAAGTAGAATTAAAAGATTGTTTGGGGATGATGAAATTGTAAAATAAAAGGAGTTTAATAAATGAAGTTTATAATTGAAGCTTCAAACCATGGAATATGGATGCACAATTTTATTGATGGGATTAAAATAATAAATGAAGTTTCAAAGCCTATCAAGGTATTTTGTGACAACAATTCTACGGTGCTTCACTCTAACAACAACAACAAGAGCTCGAGTAAGACAAAACACTTTTTTCATGAAAAAGAGTAAGACAAAACACATTGAAGTGAAATACCGAGCTATTAAAGAAAGGGTTCAGAATAAAAGGGTCGTTATTGAACATATAAATACAAACTTCATGCTAGCGGATCCTTTAACTAAGGGTCTCCCACCAAAAGTTTTTCATGAGCATACTGCTCACTTGGGAGTCATTGATTTTAAGGAACCTCAGGTTTAGTGGGAGTTTATAAGTTATGATTGATGTTCTATTGCTTTATGAATTTGTTTTCTGATCAAAATAAAGTTTGACATTTAGTGTATTCTGAACAATTAAGTTATTAAAGTTAAAGTTTTTTAAAGAAGGGTCAGTTGAAAATTTACATGTACATGTTGCATTTCATGTAATTTTCATTTTACACATTTCATGATTGATCTATGTCATGCATTATGTTATATTGATACTAGTAATCATTGGTGGTATAGTTATGTTTAACATGACAAAATGGTGCAATGGTTCTATATTAGTATGTCTATATTAGTATGTCTGGTGGACAAGATTGTTTAAGGATGTTATTTAATATGATGGTATTTCTGAGCGCATAAAGTTAACAAATTTTGTTATGAATTACATATAAGGCCCAGTGGGAGATTGCTGGAAACAATAAAAGGGGCCTAATATGTAATTAATTAAAATGTGTTTACCATCCGATAAATAATAAAAATACAGTGATTATTATTCATGAAATAATAAAAGTGTAGATACTGAGATAATATATTTCTTTTGGTGACGGGTCAAATTAAATATATTACACTAAAGTGATACAACGGTTATGACCCCCGGTGCGTGTAAATTAAGAGATAGCAGTAAAGACATTGTAACGGAAAATGGCCAAATAAATTATTCTAAATAACACCATTAATGCGCCAACCGTTACAATGTAAAACTACTCCTATAAATATCTCATCAATTATAGGACTAGAACATCTCATATACGATACACAGAACCAGAAGGTTTAGTCGTTCAATCGTGTTGGATTCTTGGGTCTTCTCAAAGTGCTAAGCAAATGAATACTCAAGGTACGGTTCTAATATTAATTCATACATATTTGATTTCATGGATTTTGTTAGGTCCCCTAGATTTTGATGACAAGTATAAATTGTTTTGATGACGCCACCCATTTTTGTTATTCTTGTATTAGACTAGTATCTCATGTATTTGTTCTATTTATGTTTATTATAATGTGCTATCTTTAGTGATTAAGTACTCATAAAAGGCAAAGAGTACTAAAAGAGAAGAAACGTACCAAAAACAAAAAGAAAAGAATCAAAAGGAAAAGAAACAAAAAAGAGTTAACTGGAATTCATTGAAAACGACAGCCAACTGGAAAAATCAAAATTCAACAGCCTACTGAAACATTCTTCAACCGACTGAAATATTGGTTTTCCAGTTAAGGCATCCGAAATCAACTAACACTTCTCTTAGCACAAAATCAATTAAACAGAAGACCAACTTGCAGTCAAAATGATAAATTGAAAAAAAAAGTAATTTTATAAGAAATTTTTACCACATTATAAAAATTTCTTATAAACTTGTTTTACAAAAAGCAAGTAATTTTATTGTAAGGAAACATTGAACAACACTCAGCTTTTATACTAAATCTCTACGAGCAAAAGAAATAAAAGATATATCAATCTTTTATCTTTGCCTTGAGATGAGGAAACAAGTTGTGTGAAAGATTTGATCTGTGTCACAAAAAGACAAAGAACAAACCATGTTGCCTCAGTCGAGTGGAACAATGCAAGTAGATCAAGCAACAATCAAGATTGAGCTCCTCAGCCAACAGTGGAGATTCAACAACCAGTCTATAAATACAGAAGGAGTGCGAGAAGAAACAAGTGGAAGATCCAGGTGGAATAGAAGGGAATCAAGTTTTACAAGCACGCATCCAGCGAGCTGATTCCCTTCACCACTTCGGTTCTCACCCCACTCATCTAATGCTCTTAGAATAGCTTTAATTCATACAAACCTATAGAGCTTAGATTAGTTGGTAGTTTAGTTTTCACCCATGTAAACTAGACTAGTGTGTAGACAATCTGGAGGCTTTGTTTTCAAATCCAGAAGGTGAGAAAGAGCAAAAATATGAGTAGCTCTTGGGAAGTCAATGTCATTAGTGAAAAACCTTGGAGGACTGAGTAGCTTGAAATGGTGTTCTAATTCCTTGTGATTTTTAGTGGAAATCCTGGGCCAAAGATAGATTAGGCACTAAATGTAATGGGATATTTATTTAGTGGAAATCCATCTGAAATAGGTTGGGACTGGATGTAGGAGGATTACACCACCTCTGAACTAGGATATATCTTATGTCACCTTTTATATTCAGCTCCCAATACACACTACAGTTCTCACTCATCTTCACAACCTCCCAGCAAAAACAGCCTGCTCACTAAAACTGT